GGTGGGGAGAACAACATGTTATTTAAGTAAAACACAAGCACTAACAAACACGGAGCTTCTTAAACAGTAAAATATTCTGGGTGAAAATGGAAGCTGGCTGGGGTATTAAAAATCGTGTAATGATGTACTCAGCTGTTTAGATCCAGTTGCTCATGGATTTCTCCACTTAGATGTTCTGCAGAAATAAGTTCACTTGATACTCTCCCATTTTCTGACAACTCCATTTTCCATCGGTCAAAATGCTCCTTCCTGGCATCAATACCTTCCCCACCGAGCTGGGGCCATGTGGCTTACCATTTAGAAAGAGTGGCGGTGGGAAGAAATGGTCAGATTCAGGATATATTTTGAAGGGAGAGTCAAATAGGTTTTGTAGATGGTCTGGACATGGGTTTAAGCAAAAGGATCTGCCTTGTTTGTATGCTACAGACACCTTACAAACCCAACCCCCAGAGCAGTTCTATAATCTGACTTTCTCTGTGGCCGTATCAGGTTAGCTGAGCACTGCATAGTCAATCACCTAACCATGCAGAGCGGTGCTACAAACTCAGTTTCCAATTCCAGGTGGCACTCAGCATGTTACAACCGGGAGAGCTCCCTTTCACAGTTGAGGGGAATATGACTATTCTAAACTCTAGCCACTTAAACTCCTCCTCCTCCATATGTTAAGCTAATACTTGCCTCCTAGTTCCCTAAGAAAATACAGCGTATGAGTAAGACTTCTGCAAAGGCTAACCAGTCCTGGTAGCCTGTTGATATCTATGCCATCTTTTCTTCCCTCCCCATTTCAAATCACTCCTTTCCAAACCCCTCCACCTGTACTCTTGATTCTGTACTGACTCCTCCTGTTTCTTCCAAAATCTTCTTTAGTCCTTTCTTTTCTTTCTTACAGCTTCAACCCTTTCTGTCTCTTGACTTTGAGCCCCCTCATCAAAAAACTATTCGTCCAAAAATAAGCCTTTCCCTTGACCTGGGCCCATACCTGGTTCCTGTGACCCAGTGATTGGCCCCTCGGGATCAAACCATAGCAGAGGTCAATACCACAAGCTTTGCTACTCTGTCTTATTTACTCCTACGTAACATTCAGCTTCTGATGCAAATAGGAGCTCTCAGTGGGAGCACTCAGAGGCTAAAAATCAGAGATCGCTGTCTAGCTCTCCCGATGAAAGAGAAACGCCTTTGGGATTACTCAACAGGAATGTCTTGTTCTAGTCGGTGAGAACCTACCTATTATTACTGTGGCCAGACTCTAAAAAACTGAAAAATACTTAAATTACTTGCACTAAAAAATTTTATGTTTCAGCTTATGTTAGAAACCAAGCACACTAACATAAAAAAAAGGGGGGGGGGGCATGTATTTTTAATTCTCCAAATCTGTCTCTGAAATATCAAAAGCACCTTTCTCTGAAGATTTTTCTTTCTTGTAAAGGAGCTCTCTGTTAGCTGGAAAGAATCGTAGAGGTAAGCCAGCATGCCACGGTCTAGATCTCCACTTACAGACAAAACAGAAGGAACCACAGTTTTTCGTCCGTCTCGGCCCTTCACAGGAAAGTAGAACAAAAATAAAGTATCATTTAGCAGAACTACCTCTTAAGATTAGATATTTTAGACTTATAAAATCAGACTATAAACTGATCCATAAATCTAGAAGAAATGATCAAATTAATTTTTTGTAAATCACCATTTGGCAACCCTCATGGTAATAATTGATATGGGCAAGAATCATCAATGGATGCTGCAACTGGTAGGTCAAAATTTTGTGAGAGACAGTCTTCAAGTATCTGCCCACAAAAGACTTATTAATTACTCATTAATTAATAAGTACAAAATAGTTATCACTTTACATTGTAGAAATCCAGTAGCACCATCTTAACCAAGTGATAAAAGGTAACATCACCAATAACAAATTTCTATCACATGTCTCCGGATACAATGAACTGGGAAGAGGGCAGCACCATTTCTGTGGCTGAGGAAACATGAAAGAAACTGAAACCAAGGGATATCCTACAAAGTAACTGGCCTGTACTCTTCAAAAACGTCAAGGTCATGAGAGACAAGGAAAGATGAAAGGAACTATTCATCTGAAGGAGACTAAGAATACCCGGCAACTACATGAAGTATGCGATCCTAGACTGGGTCCTGAACCTATACGGGCCCACTGGCATTTACGTCTGAAGGGTTCTGTGACTAGACGGTAACGGTGGATTACTGTTACTTTCCCCATTTGGATGGTTGCACTGCGCTTACGTAGGTGAGTGTCCTTCTACTCGGGAAATACATACTGAAGTATTAAGAGATCATGTGCACATGTCTGCAGCTTATTTTCAAATGGTCCAAAACTGATCACAGAGAATCTGGGTAAAGGATACATTAGGAGCTCAAGGGAAAACATACATGTAATTGAGCCACATTTCCAGGATACATGTGTAAAAGTTCCTGATCTCCTAGATTCCACAGGGTTTCTATTGGCTCCTTCCCCCAGGGGAAATTGTAGTAAAGTCTGTTTCCTTTTCGTCCCTCTTCATCCTGACAGTCACTGCTGCTGAAGTTAGAGGGACTCACGGCAAACTGGAAAAGAAAGTTTATGTGTCTTATTAACATATTAAAATAAATGTTAAAAAGTAAGTTGCCTGAGGCTTTTTATGCAGCAACTGACTAAAAATGGTCAAGCCCAAATAAAAAGTACAGAAAAAAATTGTTGATGACTATATATATATATATATATACATATCCTAATTAATAAGAGGGGAAGGTAACCAAGAACTAAATGAGATGAAGGAGAAAGTACCAGAGACTCACAATCTTACCCTTTTGTAAAGAACCTGATTATTTGTGATTATCCCACTTAATTTAGGTGGGTGTTCGGGGACTTTAAGAGTTGGAGAAAGATAAGACAATGGTGAACAAAGATGCTGACCTCAACTCTTTCCTCTTGGGCATGACCTAAAACTTGATTACAAATTATAGACCCATTTTACTAATACGGAGAGTTCACGGAGGTAGGGAACCAAAGTTAAAGCCGTAAGAGCGGACAAGGGTCAAACTCGCAGCAGCCAGGCATGCCAGGTGAGGGATTTGAACTTTACCTTGACTGTAAAAGCTTATCAACAAGGGCTTCTGAACAAGAGACATATTAACAAATGTCTTTACCAAAGTAACCCTGTTACATGGAACAATGAAAATCATTCCAGTTTTCTATTTGTATTTGTTGATTTAGTATAGCTGTCTCTTATAAACATAACACAGGCTCCATAAAAAAATGTTCCTTTATTATAGGGAAGTATTACCTCTGACACATTAAGACAATAGACTTATGAACTACTGAATTACTGTAGTACCTTTCTCCACCACTGGAGCCGATGACGTAACCAGAAATCAAGCCACTGGCTGGCAGTTCTTGGTGAAGTAAACCATACCAGTGACGCTTCTGTCTTCTCACCGATTCTTTGGATATCAGAAATATCAGATAGTTAATTATTTGAAAATTATATAATCTATCTCAGAGTGAAAATGACTAGTTCGCGACTATTTAAATACAAGGCCATTTTTCTGTACCTTTTAACACCATTAGGTGTCTGCTTAGCATCAGAAGCAGGATGAAAACACACTCCAATCTGAGCAAGGCCATAAGGCAGCCTCTTGTTTACCAGATCCAGGCAATTAACATAGTGCTCCAAGGCACCTGTCAAAAGATCAATCATATAAATCTATTCTATAAATGCAAATCATTTTGGTCAATTCACAGACAAATTAATATAATAATGCTAACAGAACAGCACAAGTAGCATGGAGCTATTTATTATGGCAGATAGTAATTACCACTTAATTTTAGTTAGCTTCCCAACTTTTCAGTTTGAAGATTTGCAAATTTACAAGAAAGCTGAAAGAATAGTACTATAAACACCTGTAAACCCTTCACTTAGATTTAACCAACTGTCAACGTTTTGCCCCATTTTTGTTCATCCCAAAAACATTTCAGCATTCATTGCCTAAAATTTTCTGTATACCATTATTATACCATAAAGTTAATCATACCATAATTTCATCTAACATATGGTCAATATCCTTATTTTCTCCACTTATCACCCAAAATGTCATTTATTGCTGTTCTTTTTCTCGCTAAGGTTCAGACACTACATTTTAATCTCTTTTGATTCTAGACCATTTCTCCTGTCTCCTCCCTAACTTTGCTTTTGATGACATTGGCTTTTGAGTCCAAGATAATGTAGATTATCTTACATTAGAGATTTGTCTGATTGCTTCCTTATGATTTAATTGGGGTTAATCATTTTTAGCAGAAATAAATACTACATAGTTGTATACTTGATGTGTATGTTTTATTGCATCCTACCAGGAGGAACATAATAGCAAATTATCCTGCTATTAATGAAACAAATTTGATTACCTGATTAAGGTAATCCATTCACTAACAATATCCTGCTCCCCAACAATCTTCAACCTATATTTTAGAATCTACTTACGATTCTTGCTTGAATCAATTTTTATACCCATGGGGATTGTACAATCATAACATGGTGGTTTTTCTAATCAATTTTTCCTTCTACATTTATTGCAGTTCATGTAAAAACATAAATTTTCTCTATCTCTTCTCTCCAACAGCCGCCTCAATTACTTATTTTTTTGGTTAACATTATGGTTTAAATTTTTTTATTTTACTTAATGTGTTATGATCCATTACCATCAATATTTACTTTAATGTTCAATTTGTCCCAAATTTAGCCAGTGGGAGTCTCTTTCAAGCCAGTTTCTGTGTCCTCTTGACATGACCCCGCCGTCTTCTTTGCTTTCTAGCACCATAAAATGTCCCAAACTCACCTTGTACTTTCCCTGCCCCAGACCTGGAATCAGCCATTTCTCCAAGTGCTGGTTTATTTTAGAAACCAAACGTTAGGTACTAGTGTGCTCACTGCTACTGTCATTGCTTCTAGGCCTTTTCAATGAAGTTAGGAAATACGTATTTTCAAAAATTACAAGTTCATACTGATATTGCCAATTCAACAGTACAAAGTTTATTCTTGTCTTCTTTTGTTTTTGCCTCTTTTCTATTAGAGAAAATCTGGCTTTTAAAAACAGTAATCTACCCATCTATTTGCTTTATTTTATAATAGAGATGAAACAGCCTCAGAATTATAATTCCAACATTCCTACTTAGAATAAACCTAAGTTCAAGATTTCTTTGTAGTTCTCTATGCTAGTCATATAAAAGATTATACCCCACTAAATGACAGCACTGGGTTCAGAAGTTCCTTGAGATTTCCACTTCTGATAACAGTAAACTAGCTTGTTGATAACAAAACAAAACAAAAACTGGTCAAGAAACAAAAAACCACCACCACCGCTTAGTGCTACTTTTCTAATTCTCAAGTAGTAGAGTTGAGCAGAGCTTCCTGTTATGCAACTGGGAAGTACACAAATTGTAGTTCCTGGCCCATCCAGGAGGAAGGGCCATGGTAAACACCCAGTCTTTCACTAGGGACTAGAAAGACTGAAGCCAAGTCTCCAATAAACTTAATCCTGGATGGTACTAAGAAGATATGCTCCCACTCTAGCTGCCTGCCAAGAGCAAAAGTAAATCCTTCCAGAAGGAAGAAAACACCACTCAAAGCCTCAATTTATCTCTACAATTTATTCACAAATTACCTAGAATATCAGGAGAACGTCCAAATGACCAAAAGCGCAAAGAAAAACAGGTACTAGAAACAGATACATCAGAGTTACTTGGATACAGACTTTAAAATGTGACTGTCAGAAAGTTATGACAAGATGAAGAAAATAACGTGTAATTATCACAGGACAGAAGAGGATGGGTAAAAATATGCGGAGACATAATGGCTGAGAATTGTTAAAAACTAATCATAAGTAGACACTACTACTGTAGTTAAGACATGGAATCAAGGAAGGAAGGGCACTGGGAACAGAAAGCAGTTGCAAACCGGGTAATTCTAATCTAAAAACACTAGATAACCAAAGGATTTGGCAAATAGATTTAAGTTTCCTACAGGCAAGAAAAAATCTGGCACAACATAGAGGCTTTGATGGACGGACATCTAAGAGAGCTAGCTAAGTTTCATTTTCTAATAAGAAAGAAAAGATTGATTTGTTTTGGGACATGGTGGAATAAAGTAGTATAAATCAAAATTATCATATTCAAGTTTGCTTCAGTTTAACTTATATCCTGAAGGAAATCTTTAATTTACAGCGTAAGTACTAATTTTCAGAGAACCATGGACATTGGTCATTTTAAATTACTTTATAGTAGCACTTAATGAAAAACGGCAAGGACAGCGTTTTGCAGAGATGAGATGCTATGGCAGCAAGTTGGCCCTGTTAGGAACCCGAGTTGTGTCGTGTTGTTTTTCAGTCTCTGCAATCACGCTCTCGGACCTTAAAGGCAAGTGGCCCCTGTAAGTTCCTGTGTATTCACTCAAAAATCACTTATAAAGCTTAAGTAGTCCTATTTTGCGAACTCACAAGTCACCTACAGGGCTCTCGAAACAAGATTGTAGATCAGTTTTCAGTAAGAAGAATCGGGGAAGGTCATTTTCTTTCTGCTCTAGAAAAATAAGTTTTGATTTTGTGTAAAACTGAAGGGTGACTGTGGAAGTATTTACAAACACTTTAATAACGCTAAAGAAATGATTTAAATACATGATTTAACTTAGGTCCTAATTCTAGGGCTGCTCAACTAACTCTAAAATAATAGGGGCGCCCCGTAAAACTGAGAGCGCTATCAGGTCCTCCGGTCAGATATTTTAAGGAACAGTAAGGATTGCAAGAACCAGTTTTCTCCAGCGTAGAAGCACTGTCAATATATCCGACTACTTCGAAAGGAGAACCATGTAACTTCCTTTCCACGTGAATAAAGGGCCGGCTGCAATTCGCGGAATCCAGCGAGCTTGCCTTTCCACCCCACCTCTTTTGAAGCATGAAATCATGAAGCATACCGTGAAGAAGGTTCTCCCGTAGCTTCCCAGAAGTTTTTAATAAGTTCTCAAGAAATGCTACTAGCTGTTCCTTACTCAGTTCTTTGTCTTGCAAGATTTCGCGTAGGGTTTCTGCAGAAACTAACCTGAAGGCACTGTCCCCGGGCAGCCAAGGGCCTGATTCGTGGTGCAGGGCGTCTACGGGAAAGACCTGCTCCCTGAACACCACCACGGAGGACCACCATTCTGCCGCCAGGTTTTTCCGCAACTCTAAGCCCAAGGGGCCAAAGCCGGAGTGGCACCCGCTCAGGAGAGATTCTCGGCTAATCTGCCGCTTGGTGCCACTGAGGAAATGCCTCCTCTGACAGATCTCCACCAGCGCTTCGCTCCCCTCTGCAGACTCCGGGGCTTCTCCCGGCCCGTTCCCCCCGGGCAGCTCGGCGTGCGGCCTCAGGGGCCCTCCAAGGGGGCTACTCCCTGCCCGCCGCTCTGGCTGGCCCCCATCTACTCGGCCCCCAAAACCAGACAACAGGCGCCGGCAGACTTTCCGGCAGGCCCTGACGGCGGCACCCGAGGGCATCGCACGAGGGAGTTACAGAGCAGTTTCCTCTTAGCTGGTGATCCCGATACACGGCCACAACCCTCCACAACCGCAGCAATCCGGAAACCAACTGCGCAACCGCGTCGGAAGTGAGCTTGCGTGCAGCTGGCCCCGCCCACGGAAGCACGTCACTGTTCCCGCTGCAGCTGCGAGGGCCCGCTCCTCCAGCCTGGGGCGCCGGCCATTGTTTTTAACTTGTCCACATCGGCACCGAAAAAGGTCGTTCCCATCTACTTTCACTGCCGTGCTGTAGCCAAGGTTCCATCCCTATTTTCTTGGATATGACATACGAAAACACTTAGGTGTTTTCTAAGTTACCTTCTCAATCTTAAGTGCTCGTGAAAATACACTTTGGTTCCCATTTTTAGTTTTAGTCCTTTGTGGTAGTTGAGACACCCAGGTCTCCGCTGCAACTCCACTAGGTAAATGCACCGCCAGGGTGCCTACCCCTCAAAGCAGTTCTCTCTCGGGTGAGTGGGGTTGTGTAACTGGGAAGAGGTAGGGTCCCTTTATTCTTTGAAGTGGCTCTCCAAGGGCAGTCCGCGACCAGTACCACCTGGGCCACCTGGGAAAAATAACGTGCTGAGGGGCCCAGCAGTTTTAAACACGCCCTGCAGGTGAACGCGGAAATACAACCCCTAGGTGTGCACGAGTTCCTCTACCACAGGTTTAGGGTTTCATCAATACATGCAATAAAACTTAATCAGTTTAAAACAGATCTAGGACTGCCTAGTAGGCCTGCAAGCCCTTAAGAAAATTGCCCCTAGTGTAAAAGTGGTATAACCCAGATGAAATAGGTTGATTCCAAAACCCGATTTCCATTCTTCCAGCTTCCCCTAAAGTTTGGTTAGGGAAACCTTGAAAGATTAACTCGGGTGAAAGGAACAAGCTACTGGATTCCACAGGACTACCAGAAAGGGGCAGTTTACGGAGCTGGGTAATAGCTTAGCAATGGCATTAACCGGTAATATAGGAACAGTTAAAAATGTCCATCATGTAGTGTTGTAGGTCAACCTTAAAAACCATTCCATACAAGCAAGTGTTCAAGTTTATAAAAAGAGAAGCTAGATAATTAAAATTATTGCTAGGAAGCAATTATATTAACTGCAAAGCTGGGCACTACTAATGTGCGTTTCCCACACTAAAGAAACGCACTAGAGAGGCCTATACGCAAATAAAAGAGAGAGAGAATGGGGAGGAAAAAAACATTTATTAGTTAAGACAACCACAGGCTGGACACAACACACATGCTAAAAAGTGGACTGTCTTTTAAAACTTACTTCAAAGGTAAATAGGTAAATGTTTGCCCACAGCCCCACAATCATTTCAATAAGTGTTTACAAATTTAAAGGCCCACGTTAGACATTAAACAGTAAAATATGTAATAAATACTCCAACCTACCCTGAAAGCTTTAGTCATAACGAATTTGACCTACCATGCTATTGAAAACTGTTCAGTTACTAGAGGTTGATCAGTTTTCAATGTATTAGTCCTAAAAATACCATTCCCCTCCCCCAAAGAAATTCTATTTTATATTTCAGAGATAAGGCATTAACACCAATTAAAGCCTGTTTAATAATCAGAATTTAAATCTCATGAAGACGTCTCTCCTTGCAAAAAGAACATATATACCAGAGACACTCTGGGTATTCAGACCTACTTCTAGCTATTATCGAAATAAAGTATTAGAAATATTGGTGAGCTGAAGTTGAATCTAAAGCTACTTCCTGGATCTTTCTAGCAACAAACCCATTGTTGACCCTAACAAGACTTGTACTATAGTCACTGTGCTTTTGGTTGTTATTTCCTCTTGATTAACCATTAATTTTAATGAGAATTTTTTTGTGTTCAAATATGAATAGACCTTAGTTTGAAGTGCTGTAGAATTCCCTGGATTATTGGAAAGACATTCAATGACTCTCAGTGTGACTGCAATTAAGAGCCCCCGGGAGCCTGTGAAGACTAGAATCTGTTTATAACCTGCACTAAGAACCCTGGAAAAAAAGAAGAAAAACTTAGCTCCTGCCAACCTTATCTTAAAAATGTGGTAAGTCTTAGCTTTGTTCAACATTCCAATAATTCAAAGTAGAGACAAAGTTATTTGGAGCTATTAAATGATAAATTTTGCAAAAGGAAGTCATCCATGCTCTCACACTAACCAGTTTGCAGGTGGGGCTATACAGTTGATTATCTACTTTAGTATCTCATATTTCACCACTCTGCTAACAAATAGGCTTTTAAATGACTCACCTTATGTTGGGAGGTACTGACAGAAAGCCATTATGCAGTTTAGCCTAGAATTGTAAATTTTCCTAAATCTCATTTTAATTCTTGCAAAATTAATACATCACTCTAAGGGCCTTCTGATCGCCCCACTTCCCAAAACTAAGTTATGGAAAACTTTAGTTTTTGATAAAAAAAAAAAAAAAAGACCATATAAGCAGTTTTACATGACATTATATAGTAAAATAAAGTACAATTTCCACTTAATTCAGTCTTCAAATATTTTTTATTGGAAGGCCATGCATTGCCTTCATTCATTGTATTTCAAATCACTGTACATTTACTTTTGTGAAAACACTGCCTGCATTTTCTAGTACAAAAAAAACCTAAAAATTGTTTCAGGAATGTAGAGAAATATCCAACTTAAATAGCGAAAAAGTGCACCATAATTACTGCTGCACTGCAGTCATTTCTGCATTTCCCATGTTTCTTAAATAACTATCTTGTCTGATAACACACAATATAAAGAGCAATTATGAAAAACAGACATTTACATATACTTCTAAAGTCTTATTGAGAATATCCTGTTGGCATTGGATAACCAATCATAGGCGCAGCTGCAGTAGCAGGATATGCATATGCCTGTTGGTTCATACCATTGTGCATATTTGGAACATTACTTCCGTATTGCTGAGTGCTATCATAACCATTCTGGTAAGTCCCTGTTGGATTACCAGTCCTAAAACTGGTCTGTAAACCAGCAGACACAAAATTACTCCCAAAGCTCCCATTGGTGTAATTTGTAGCACTGTAAACACCATTCTGGGTCTTTGCCCCAAAATCTCTCTTAAGCAGACTAGAGTAACCTCTGTCATAATTTTCCCTGTCTCTAAAGGTATTAAATCCACCCCTTTTGCCCGCAGAGTATCTGTCCCGACGGTCATCCTTCATGCCTCCTCTACCCCTGGAACGACCTGTCAAGAAAAAAAATAATTGCATGCTGATTATTTCTGTGACACAATTTCTAAAACAGAATGAATCAAGTAGCTCTTACTCACTATAGATGCGGAGTATTTCCTCAACTTAGTGTCACATAAGGTTTCACTCACCTGCCAATCCCATTTAAATGGGTTTGTAGACAATTATGTAACCCCAAAACCACCACCATTTCTTACTGAAGATTGGTCTTACCTGAACCTCTGTCTTCAACCAACTGAAGCAACTTGGGATTAATTGCTTGATTAGCTTCACGAAGCACAGAGATAAGGTCGCTCACTTGCTTTATATTATTAGGTGTAAAGAAAGTGTATGCTGTGCCTGTTTTGGTACTGCGAGCAGTTCTTCCAATTCGATGAATATAATCCTCTGAGGAGTTAGGGTAGTCATAATTGATGACAAATTTCACATCTTCCACATCTGTAAGGTGTTGCAGTGTGGCAAAATAGCAATGTACGGAGTTTTGCACACCACAACAGCCAGACCAAAAATAAAAAGTTAGACAATTGTATTCCCAAGAAGGTATGGGCTGCAAAAAATACAGTTAAAATGGTTATCCATTCCCTGTAGGAATACCATTTGAGGTTGGGGGGGGAAAAAAGCACACATCTTCTATGTGTCATTGCCCACCCAATGAAAGAACCTGTCAAAAGGATGTGTGTACCCTAACATTCCCAAATCAGCAAGTCCCTTCATAGGTCATCAAGTGACATCTGAATGCTTCTGTGCAGTAGGGCCACTTAAAGGTTCACAGCAACCTCTTCATGTGCTCATTTTGAGGACCTTTAAACAAAAATGTACATGGTCCTTTGCATTACACACTTATCAGTTCAAAATTCTGGCCACACTGCTTGTCTTGCCAAGACCTTACAACTGCAGCTGCAAGAAAAACATACCTGTCCCCCAAAAGTTGTTTTTATGCACTGTGTCTCGTCTAGGCAAGCGCTTCCAAGAAGCCAGGATTCACTTGAGAATGTGTCTCTCTCTGGCAGGTCTCGACATGACGACTACTGTGTAGGTGAGGGAGGAACTTTCAAAGCATTGCTTTCTTTTCCCACTAAGTGTGGGAAGTTGCTCCTGCTCTAGAGCTCATGTGCCAGTACTCACCAATTTGTAAAAGGCTTAGTACACCTTTTAAAAGCTGCTCTCTCCATTTCAAACTTGAACAAAAATTTCATTGAACATTGAAGTTTGGAAATATTTCTTCGACATTTCAGCAAACTCACTGAAACTCAAAGACTCACAGATCACAGTAAACAGTCTGAAACAATGCAGTACCATGGCAGTCATGCAAAGCATGGGACAGAAGAAATACCACGGCAGTGAACTGTGAGGATAACTTCCATTTTTTTCCCTCGGAGAGAACAGTTTATGCAGCAGAGGTTGGTATGCTCTGCCTTTTGAAGATTACTGGCACACTTTCAGCTTTTCACCTCTCTAATCGACTGGAAGCAGCCAGCCGATCACTAGTCCTCCATCCCCCTCGAGTCCTCCGATTGTCATGCCTAGGCCTTGCCACAAAGACAGCACCTTTATATGAAAAAAAAACTTAGAAAAAATGCAGGTTAAAGAAAGCAATAAACTTTCTTTAAAAATTGTATGGAGATCTTCTGGAAATCAAGCCATGAATTCGAGTTTGTACTAACCTAGCCCTCTGGAGGCCACATCTGTAGCAATCAGAATAGGAGCTTTTCCATGTTTGAATTCTGCAAAACAAGGCATATATATGACCATTAACCTGAGCAAAATTCTAGGTTTTGAGAGGGGGGCAGGGGATGGAATCTTCATCTGAAATACTTACCATTTAGAACCCAGTCACGCTCCTGTTGACTCTTGTCACCATGGATACCCATGGCAGGCCACCTAAATTAGATATATATTAGTAGACTCACATTTAAAACTTGATAGACTTTAGTTTAGCACCTAACCACTTTTTGAGTCACAGATAGCTCCAATTTCACTTGAAATGTTAGTTTTATCTGCTCTACCAGGTGATTCCCATCCACAAAACTCAAATCCATCCCTCCTGATTTAAGTTTTGTTCTTCCCCTAAACTCAGCTCTAACACATCTGCTCCAATGAAGGAAGCCCACATACCCGTCTCTCCTCATTTTTCTAGTAAGTTCATCACATCTTCTTTTGGTTTCAACAAAGACAATGGTTTTGTTCTCCTTCTCACTCATGATCTCTTCCATCAGACGAATAAGTCTTGAAAGAAAAAAAAAATTCTAAGTTTTAAAAGTCCATGTACTTATGGTCAATGTACATGGCCACTAATCAAAAAAAAGGAAACACCTGCTTACTAATCACTCAAGCTATTCCACCCACCCTTTGCCCTTAAACTACAGAACACCCGAGTTCCTTTTCCTACAGGAATGCTATACAGTGACAGCCAATTTTCAGAATGAGTAACAGGCTCATTTTAAATTAACATATGCAGATTACACCCAACTGAAAGATACTTTTAAGATAACCTATGAAACAGGGACTCAATTTACACAGCAGTTGTTGTTGAGCCAAAACACCACTTACTTTTCATCCTTTTCTACGTCATGACACACATCCACAATCTGAAGGATGTTGTGGTTTGCACTCAGTTCCAGTGCACCAATGTTTATATGAATATAGTCTTTCAGGAAATCTTCAGCAAGCTGTCTCACTTCTTTTGGCCAAGTCGCACTCCACATTAGGGTTTGTCTGTCAGGCTAAAGAATTTGGGATTAAAAAATAAACCACCCCAAAACCTTGTAGTATTCTAAGAATGAACTTAGAACGAAGTTTGAAGTAGTATCATATTTAAGGGCACTTACTCTTATCTGATCCACAATCTTCCTTATTTGGGGTTCGAAGCCCATATCAAGCATTCTATCTGCTTCATCAAGGACAAGGTAGGTGGTTCTTCTCAGGTTTGTTTTCCCACACTCTAAAAAGTCAATCAGTCTTCCAGGTGTTGCAATACAGATTTCCACACCTTCAATTAAACACATAAATGTAACTATAAAACATCTAGAACTTCTTAGCAGCAATGAAAAAAATAAATCTTTTTTTGTCACACACCTCTCTCCAAATCACGTATTTGTGGTCCCTTGGGAGCACCACCATAGATGCAAGTAGACTTCAATCGACATGCTCTACAGTATTCAGCAGCTACTTGCTGCACCTGTTGGGCCAGTTCCCGAGTTGGTGCCAGCACCAAGCACTAAGGAAAGAGGAACAGAAAGTTGAACAGCTTTTAGCAGAGTCCTGCGGCCTAGGTTCTAAACTAATTTTTTATTATACCAGCAGATAACAATCTCCAGCTAAATTGGATAACATAACATCTCTACACAAAACCACCACAAATTGTATCCTTTGTTATACATTCTATAAACCTACTAAACTTCTGGCCAAAAACTGAGACAAAGAAAAATATATATACTTACAATAGGCCCATCACCTCTCTCTAGGAATGGCTGATGATTGATGTGGACAATGGCAGGCAGCAAATACTATTTAAGAGATAACAGACAACAAAAGTTGTATTAAAATACTTTTGGTTTGCCTTTGTTCCCAATACATTTCCTCTAAGCATCTTAAAAGTTCTCCCAAACTTACAGACAATGTTTTCCCAGATCCAGTCTGTGCTACTCCAACCATATCCAATCCACTTAGGGCAACTGGCCATCCCTGAGCTTGAATAGCAGTGGGTTCAGTAAAGTTCTGTCTTGCAATCACATCCATGATGTTTGCTATAATTAGCAATTTAGAAAAATTAGTAATGCCAAAAGAAGGCAATTTTCAAAAATAAAAGAGGGAGAAAACAAAACTAGCACTTACCAGGAAAGTTTGCTTCATAAAAATTCAGAACTGGCTTTGGGCAGTTGTGACCTCTAACTGTAATTTCCTTGCTTCTTCTGTATGTCTCCACCTCTTGCTACAAAACAAGTAATCTAGTTAAGTCTTATGACAACCTCCCCTAACTAAATATGCAACCAGTAAAAGTCCCTAAATTTATAATTGATTAGATACTTCAACATGGCCATTTTAAATCTGCATGCACAAATGAAAACTCCATTTGACACAAAAAAATACCTATTGTGTTATACTCAACCACCCTAAGTAGAAAAATTCAGCCTTGTGTTTCCAAAAGTGAGTAAAACCCCTTCCCCAACAAATCAGAAAGCATGAATTTCCCATAATTTGGTCATTTACAAGCCACTTCTGGTGAGATTTTTATTTACTGTAAGTCATTATTGAGTTAAGCTTGATGAAGCCACAAGACATTACTCACCGCTGTGCGCCTGGCCAAATCGGGGTGTTCTTGATAAAAATTCTTCTCAAATTTGGGCAGCTCATCAAGATTCCACTTCTTTTTAACTAGTTTCTCCCCAGGGTTTCCAAACTTCTTTCCTGATAGAGGCCCTGCCCTACTTCCTCCAAACCGAGGTGCACCAAACCTGAAAGAAAAAAAAATTTTTTAAAGCCCTCACGTTTTCAAACATCTACATAGGAGGAGTCTGCATACACAGTAACTCACCATTCCTTGGCACACCCTAATGATCAATAAAAGACTTTGTAGGCATAAGATATGACGCTGTCCTTAGTGACGATCATTTTCAAAACAATTAGCGCCCCAGGTTTCATTTCCCTTTTTCCTAAGTACACACTATTTGAAGCCAAATCAATAGCCTAGGATTTATCTGGTCGGAAACTGGCTTCCCAAAGGCCAAAAGCTCAGATTACACGGATAGACAACAGCTTGTGGCTACCCGTCTTTCCCACGAGCTCAGGAATTAAGTATCTGGGGGAGACAATACAAGAAGGGAGGAGCTTAACAGGGACGTTCTTTACCAGCTGTTTTCAAGCCAAGGAGCCTCGGTTTTAACGAATAACGGGGCAGCACAGGCAATGAGAGCAGAACAAGGACGGTGGTGGGCTCTGGGACGCTTATGAACGCCGATTGGGTAGGGGGATCCCGCGGAAGGGCTCCCAATCAAGGTAGCAAGATTATATAACTCAAGAAAAAAGAGAAGGAGGAGCTGGCGGCTACCGGGGGAGGAGTCCCGGCCCGGGCGGAGTCGGCCGGGCGGCGTTCCCGCTGGGGCGGCGCTTCCCCCTTTGTCTCGCATTTCTCTCTGCGCCACATTTTCTCGACGCTGCCATTTTGAGCTCCTCCGCCGGGCGGGGTAACAAAGGCGCCGCCATGTCCGACAGCGGCATTTTGTATCCGCGGCCCCTCCACATGGCCGATTCCCTCGGCGCCGGCCACCCTCCTGCCCCCGCCGCATCTATGGCTTTGGAAGAGGCCTTCTCCGCTCCCACAGAATTCCCGGGGCCCCCAAAACACCTCTCGAAAGGTAGCACCTAACAGCTGCGACTTCGCCCGCCTCGGAGCGTCGCGTTTCCCTCCCCTTGCAATACGTTCCTCCGAATTCTCCCCACAGCTGCTAAATCGCCGAGGTCCCGAAGCCCCCCCCCAAACGAGACGAGATTGACGGCCGTTAACAGAAAAATCTTTCAGTCAGTTTTGGGCAAATATCAAAATGGCGCAATCCTTCGACTACGGAGGACCAAAGACAGGTTGAAAAAATATGTTCCCGTCGCCACCCACCCCTCGTTACCTCATCCGGCCTCCCATCCCCCACCCGCCGGGCCTGACAGGGCAGTTCCCACACTCACCCTCGATCCCGGCCGCGGTCTCGGTCACTCGAATAGCCCGACATGGCGTCAATGGTTGCGGTTGGCGGGAAACGAAGTGGATAGAATCGGGAGCGACAAGTCGCTGGAGGTGGCTTCGGCGATAGCGAAGCCTTGCGGGGGCGGCAGCGGCGGAGGGACGGCGATGACAGGAACCCGAGCTGCTCGCCTAAAGACCGGTGGAAATGAATGAGGTGCCGGCCGCGTCCCGGCAGCCGGTTTTATAGGCTGGACCGCCTCCTCTGCCGCAGAGAATGCTGGGAGCCGTTCTATGACCTAATCACCCCGCCCCTGCGCAGAGGCCGCAACGCCCGCCGACGTTCCGGAATCCGCCATGTTCTCGCCCCTCCCCCGCGGTCCCTCCCTCAGATTCGCCCGTTATTTTGCCCCTTTCATGGCTGGGCCCACCCACTACAGCGATGCCTCTGCCTGCGCCCTCTTGACTTCACCTTTTTCTCGTCTTTCCACACCTCGAGGAAGCCACCCCACCCTTTTTCAGCTCCAGACCGGGCGATAAAATGGCCAACACAAGCCTACCCACTTAGAGTTGTTTACGTCTCCAAAGAGCCTTCACGCCCAGAACCAAATGGGGCAAGAAGGCGGAGCCCGAATTGCCACGTGACTGCCCCGCCCACTGGGTGACAGGGCCGCACTATTTCTTCAGCTGGGGTCCGCGGAGGAATACAAAACGGAAAGTTCACCGGAAGTGCCGCCCTAATGCCTTGCTAATGCCTTGCTAATGCCGCGGGGAGACTGACCCCTACTGTTGAGTGACCCTCCTGCCAAATCCGCCCACCTGAGAATCCCTTAGCGCGATCTTGCCGGAGGAGAATAGTATCTGAAGGCTCCAAACCGCCGCCTCTGCTCGTGCTGCGAAAGGAAGTGCTGTGGCGACCAATCAGCAGCGAGAAGCCGTTTTACCGTTCCTCCCTCTTTCACCCCTCCTTCCCTGTGCTCTGCTTTCGTTCCCCCGCCTCTCCGCTCCGTGTCAGCGCCGTGCGGCCCTTCCGGGACACCGTCCCCCGCGCCCCCAGCTCGAAGCCCGGCGGCGACCTGCCTCCGCGACATGGCGGGCTCAGAGGCTGGTGAGTCTCGGCCTGGAGCCCCGGTGTGTGTGGACTAAAGCCTTTCAAGTCCCCGGACGCCCCTGCCCCCGCCCGTTTTTTCTTCAGACCTCCGGCCAGCCTCTACTAAGTCTGGCTCTTGACATCCCGTCGGAGTGGGCTGGTTCTCTGGGTCGGGTCGCAGCCCAGCCCTCTGTCCGACCGGAGGCCGTCGCGTGCGGTTTTGGGACGGGGGAGAGAGGGCCCTGTGGCGAGGGCCGTAGTACAGCCGCATCCTGGCTGCAAAAAAGGGGAGTCGGAAAGTTTCTTCCCTGGACTTGTATTTCTCTGGGGGCCCTAGCCGCTGTCAAGGCGCTCTCTGCGCTTGCATTGTGGGGACTGAGGTACATGCATCTACCTGGACTGTGGAGGAGTGCCACTCTTAAGATCTGTTGATGCCCCTGCCAAAGTAGAATGGTTGCGGATTTTTCTGCTCGGTGACCTCTGGAGTTACCGCCTTTGTCTAGCACCGCTTTTGAAAAGCGAATTGATGTCGTTGTCTAGGACGCGTTCATCCTTTCCTGCGGGACCGCGTTCAAACCAGTTGTCATGGTTTGGTCGTCTGTGAGAAACGGGCGAGGGGGCGAGGGAGATAGTGTGCCTTGAAGAAACAATCACACACATATCTAGACTATATTAAAGGTAATTGAACAGAGAATAAAAGAACTTTCCCTTTAACCACCAATCACTTCAGGGGAACATGTTTCAAGTTTTCTAAGCAACCTTTGGTCGAGAAACCCTTGAAATAACTGCTAATTTCAACAATATCTGGGCGAGGAGTACACAGAAAACTTAAACAGTGTTGGTAATGTGCTAATTCTGGATTTAGGGACTTTTTGTGTGTACTTTCCATATTTTCTTTAATATAATCAGATATTTTTAAAAATGCATTAGTGTTGGTGTCATTACTCCAGTTCTTAACAGCCTAAGTTAATCACCACCTACAAGATAATAGAGTAAAAACATGACTAATGCTATTGGGAATTTGAAGCAACATCCATTAATTAGTTTCTGGGAGCCTCAATATCATTAACCATCTTGTTTGGGACATCCATTTACTTGTAAGTATGTTCTAAATAAAAACACCTAAGTATGTCTTGTAAAATAAGAACTACAGTAAATAACTTAAGGGTTTAGGTTGCAACAGTGAAAATTGGTTTTGCATCATGTTTTTGATTGCACTGAAATTACAGCAGCCTGGAAGATATTCCAAGAAATTAGTATATCTTTTAAAATATCATGCCTAGGAGGGTCTTTGAAATTCTTTCGTAATCAAATTCCTTGTCTTGTACAGAGTTCAATGTCTGTTTTGTGAGGGTTGGTGTTTGTTTGTTTTAATGTGTGTATGACTTTTTCTAGTGCTATGTAAAGCTAAACTTTTCCCTTTCTCAACAGAGTGGGTAACCATTGCCAATAACCTTCTCCTGAAATGTCACATACACCTGAGGATACATGAACTAGAAGATTGTGATGCTAATGTCTTTGTTGCTCTTTATCAATCCATTTTGGGAGAAAAGGTACCAGGTAAGAGTACTAAAAAGTGGGAGTAATAATGTTTGTATCTTCAGCCAGAAGTTCCTAGTTCCTTTAGTTATAGCCTATGGTATTTGTAAACTCTTGAGTTTCCTGTTGGTGTACATCTTATTTCTCAGTTATGCATTCATTTTCTTAATGAATACCTTATGAGACCAAGCCATGATAGCAGCCTTGGTCAAGTCAGTTTGACTGGTCTTGGTCATCACTGTTCAGTCTAATCATGCTAAGTGCCTTGTGAAAGTCACACCTTTTCTGTAAAGTACTTTCAAAGGTTCTAAAATTGAGTGGAACTTAGACACTTGTTGGGTCCTCTTACTTAAACAATATTAAGATTTGGTGTTTGTACTGTGTTCCTGGACATTCAATAAGCCTCCTTTCACACCTGTTACAGGGTTTCTCTCTCATGGAAAGCAGCCCGTGATTATTGGTTCAAGTGCCACCTCTGCACTGCTTTCCCTTTTTCTTGCATCATCCTTGAATCTAAGGGGCTCTTTATCTTCCTTTAGCATGGTGCTTAATGTGGAGCATGTTCCTATATTTATTCAGCCATATTCAACTGATAAGTATTCAACCAATAAAGATTCTCCAGTTTCTATTAACTTCATCTGTACTCTTAAAAACCTGTTCTGAATAGGTCCAGAGACATGGAAGCATGGAACAGACTGATGAATCTCAGAGGGAAGGGGAGGTGGGAAGAGATTAACCAAAGCACTTATATGCATATATGCATAACCATGGACACAGACAATAGTGTGGTGAAGGCCTGGGGTGGGCAGGAGCTTGGTGGAGGGGAGTAATGGGAGGAAAATGGGGGACATCTGTAATACTCTCGACAATAAAGATAAATTTTAAAAAATAATAAAATAAATAAATAAAAACCTGTTCTATTTGGGCAGAGGCCTAATCAGAGACAGAGAGATGAAAATTTAGACCCTTATAGATGCAAAATTATGTAGCTTTTTTTTTTTTTTTTCACAGACCTCATAGCTAGTCCCAGGAGTCTAGAGGATGAAGTTCACAATGTACAAGCAGTAATTGATTCTCTGGCCTTGGATTACCTGCAGGTCAGCTTGTCTCACATAACAGGTTGGTATATACTTAACCATCAGGTAATTTTGCATTTTACTAACATAACTTGTTTAGAACCATAGACACTGTGTAGCCAAATGAGTAAGCTTATGAAATAGACCAAACAGCAAGATTGAACCAAGACAGTTGATAGGTATAGTTAAGGCAGCCACCCTTGAAAGCTTTTCTAGGAGAGTCAGACATTGAGTTTACAGTGGATCTGGGTCAGAGCCCTAGCTGGTAGTTTGAAGTGTGATTTTTTTCTCTCTGTTATTTTGTTATTTTAAAGATACCGTGCTGTTTGTTTGTAGTAGCTAAAAATTAAAAACACTTAAATGTCCATTAATGGTGACAGGTTAAATAAGTTATGGTAGCTCCATAGAGGGAACTAGTCTGCAGCTATAAAAGATAATTATGATGCTCTTTATGTACAGTGTTCCATGTTAGTGAAACAATCTCCAGTATATATTATGTGAGAACAATGTGGTATAGTTACAATGATAATGTGCAGAGTATGCTACTATTTGTAAATACAAAGGTAGGGACAGTATATACGCAGTTGTTTTCATGCAGAAGGATTCTCTAGAAGCATATACAAGAAACCTATAATACTGTTTGCCTCCAATAAGAGGAACTTAAGGACAAGGGAGGAATGAGACTTTCCATTGTATGCCTTTTGTACTTTTTTAAATTTTGAATCATGAGTATATTACCTATTCAAAATAAACAAACTGTAAATTGTTTTTAAACCTTTTTCTTAAATAGAGTAAATTATTTCCTGCTGATGAACGGAGGGAATCTTGGAGATGTGAAACTGTACTTAATCACTAAGAGAATGTTTATACTGTTAATCTATTCTTTGACAGTAGTAAGTAGTAAGGAGGTAAATGTTAATCAGGATAGGTCATTTCCATCTCTTAATGTGATATTGACAAGAACAAGTTTTTGCAAAAATACTCTGTCTTAAGTTTTTCAGTTCTAGGTGAGTAAATGTGGTAATTTAGTTTGGAGATAATTCATTTTGGGGGATACTCCTGGGGTTTTTCTGTTCTTTTGCAATTTAGAAATGCATTATCACTGGAGTAGGGCAATTTCTGGTATTTGTGCTTTTAAAACACACCATAGCAAGGTTGTGTCTGCTTACAGAACTTTTTATTGCAGAGCTTCCCCTGATAACTCACACCCACCCCATGAAAAGCTGCAAAACTGCTTACCTCCTCCAATAGACTGCAAAGCAGCTTTGTACTTCTTGTGTTTTGTTTAAATCCGTTTTTTTTACACCATGAATCACTGCATTCTGGCAGGCAGTCTTAGTTGCTGGGTTGTCAGAATATACTCCCCATCCTGGAAACTGAAGTCCTGAGTATGCCCTTGGGGTATACTTGTGTATCTTGTTAAGCCAGAAAAACATAAAGCTTAAAAACAAGATTTCTCTTTAGTTGTTTTAAACAAAACAAAAAATCTGTTAAACATTTGACTAGTAGTAT